GCCTGGGAAAGGTTGAGGGAGGGGGGAAAGGAGGTTTTGTGTGTGAGGGGTTTGGGACTTCCACGGGCATGCGTGCCGTGTTAGATAGGACAAATGGAACAAATGGTTTTTGGACCGGGCATGCTTTTTGGATTAACAAAGGGTAACTTTTATGAAGGGATCAGGAACTGGCAGCTGGCCCCGAGATCCTGGAGGTGAAGTACAGTGTCTACACTCTGAAGGAGGGGTGTTAATGTTGCAGTTTTATAACTGTAGTGTAAGCGCACCTCTGGCAAGACCAGTGATGGAGTAAATGATGGTGAAAGTTTTTCTTTTTCGGGCCACCCTCCCTTGGTGGCCACCCTGCCTTGGTGGCCACCCTGCCTTGGGGGCCACCTCCTTTGCCCCTTTGGTGGTCACCCTTCCTTGGTGGCCACCCTGCCTTGGTGGCCACCCTGCCTTGGGGGCCCCCCCTTGCCTTGGTGGTCACCCTGCCTTGGGGGCCACCCTGCCTTGGTGGTCACCCTGCCTTTGGGTGGCCACCCTCCCCCCTTGGTGGCCCCCCCCCCTGCCTGGTGGCAACCTGCCTTGGTGGTCACCCTCCTTGGGTGGCCACCCTGCCTTGGTGGCCACCCTGCCTTGGTGGTCACCCTTGCCTTGGTGGTCACCCTGCCTTGGTGGCCACCCTGCCTTGGTGGCCACCCTGCCTTGGTGGCCCACCCTGCCTTGGTGGCCACCCGCCTTGGGGGCCACCCTGCCTTGGTGTCACCCTGCCTTGGTGGCCACCCTGCCTTGGTGGCCACCCTGCCTTGGTGGTCACCCTGCCTTGGTGGCCCCCTGCCCCCTTGGTGGCCACCCTGCCTTGGTGGTCACCCTGCCTTGGTGGCCACCCTGCCTTGGTGGCACCTGGCCTTGGTGGTACCCTGCCTTGGTGGCCACCCTGCCTTGGTGGGTAAACCCTGCCTTGGTGGCCACCCTGCCTTGGTGGTCAAAACCCTGCCTTGGTCACCCTGCTTGGTGGTCACCCTGCCTTGGTGGCCACCCTGCCTTGGTGGCCACCCTGCCTTGGTGGTCACCCTGCCTTGGTGGTCACCCTGCCTTGGGGGGCCCACCCTGCCTTGGTGGTCACCCTCCTTGGTGGTCACCCTGCCTTGGTGGCCACCCTGCCTTGGTGGCCACCCTGCCTTGGTGGTCACCCTGCCTTGGTGGCCACCCTGCCTTGGGGGTTTCACCCCTGCCTTGTGGCCACCCTGCCTTGGTGGCCACCCTGCCTTGGTGGTCACCCTGCCTTGGTGGTCACCCTCCCCTTGGTGGCCACCCTGCCTTGGTGGCCACCCTGCCTTGGTGGTCACCCTGCCTTGGTGGTCACCCGCCTTGGTGGCCACCCTGCCTTGGTGGCCACCCTCCCTTTGGGTGGTCACCCTGCCTTGGTGGCCACCCCTGCCTTGGTGGTCACCCTGCCTTGGTGGCCCCCCCCGCCTTGGTGGTCACCCTCCCTTTGGGGTGGTCACCCTGCCTTGGGGGTCACCCTGCCTTGGTGGCCCACCCTGCCTTGGTGGCCACCCTGCCTTGGGGGGCCACCCTGCCTTGGGGGTCACCCTGCCTTGGTGGTCACCCTGCCTTGGTGGGTCACCCTGCCTTGGGTGGTCACCCTGCCTTGGTGGTCACCCTCCCTTTGGGTGGTCACCCTGCCTTGGTGGTCACCCTGCCTTGGTGGTCACCCGCCTTGGTGGCCACCCTCCCTTTGGGTGGTCACCCTGCCTTGGTGGCCACCCTGCCTTTGGTGGCCACCCTGCCTTGGTGGTCACCCTGCCTTGGTGGCCACCCTGCCTTGGTGGTCACCCTGCCTTGGTGGTCACCCTGCCTTGGGTTTTGGTCACCCTGCCTTGGTGGTCACCCTGCCTTGGTGGCCACCCTGCCATTGGTGGTCACCCTCCCTTTGGGGGCCACCCTGCCTTGGTGGTCACCGGGCCTTGGTGGTCACCCTGCCCTTGGTGGTCCCCTGCCTTGGTGGCCCACCCTGCCTTGGTGGTCACCCTGCCTTGGTGGCCACCCTGCCTTGGTGGTCACCCTGCCTTGGTGGCCACCCTGCCTTGGTGGCCACCCTGCCTTGGTGGCCACCCTGCCTTGGTGGCCACCCTGCCTTGGTGGTCACCCTGCCTTGGTGGTCACCCTGCCTTGGTGGCCACCCTGCCTTGGTGGCCACCCTGCCTTGGTGGTCACCCTGCCTTGGTGGCCACCCTGCCTTGGTGGTCACCCTCCCTTTGTTGGTCACCCTGCCTTGGTGGCCACCCGCCTTGGTGGCCACCCTGCCTTGGTGGTCACCCGGGCCTTGGGGCCACCCTGCCTTGGTGGCCACCCTGCCTTGGTGGCCACCCTGCCTTGGTGGCCACCCTGCCTTGTTGGTCACCCTGCCTTGGTGGCCACCCTGCCTTGGTGGCCACCCTGCCTTGGTGGCCACCCTGCCTTGGTGGCCACCCTGCCTTGGTGGCCACCCTGCCTTGGTGGCCACCCTGCCTTGGTGGGAAATGGCCGATGTGTTAATAATAAACAAAAAAGATAATAGCTTGTTGGTAATTTCTCCCTCATACTTGCCTCTAGTTGTATTACCATATTTAAAGTTGAATTATATTACAAGTAGTGAGAATAAGAATATAGTTTTTAATATATTTATGATTGAAAGAATTGTATTTTTATTGTATATTAATACATTTTTAACACATTTAACATACAGCCTCTCCTCACTTAGCAACATACTCGTATACTGACGACTCGGACTTACGACGGGCTCTCTGACCAGTATGCATACCAAAATAATGTATATTAGAGCTGATTTCCTCTATTCTGTTTATTACAATACACAATACAGTACTGTATAAACATTTAAAAATATACCAGAAATGTTATAAATTGTGCAAAGGTGACATTAAAACCATATCAAAGATGGTTGACACAAACTCACTACCATTACAGTTTGCTCCTCACTTAGTGACGAATTTGTTTAACAACGTGGTCTCAGGAACGGAACTCTGTCGTTAAGTGAGGAGAGGCTATATTTAATTGTTGCTAGGATTATATTAGGGAAAGGAGGTGTGTGTTTTACAGTAACTTTGAAGCTATTAGCAGATAGAGATTAATAACCTTGATGTTTGTACCAACAGATCTTGGGAGGAGCTCTGCTGGGCACGTCGTTATGGATGTACCTGGACGGTGCCAGGATGGCACCAGTGACGCAGGACATTGAAGGCTACAACTATGTGCTGTACTTCCTCATGGCGGTGGGAGCTGTCATGTTCATCATGGGCTTCCTGGGCTGTTGCGGTGCCTTCCAGGAGTCCCAGTGCATGCTTGCCACGGTGAGTCCCTTATTCATCAACAATACTTGTGAAATCGTAACACGATTGCAAATAAATCACGGAATGATTGGGGTTAGAACCCGTGCAGGCATTAACCACTTGGCCATCTGCCCAAGTGGATAATGCACTGGTCTGTGAGTTTCAGGACTCACCATGGGTTCAAGCCCCAGCCGGTCCCTGATTGATCAGCAGTATTGTCTAGGAATTCTAGATATTGTATATCCATTTAACAGAATATTTTGTTAGTATTCTAAGTGACGTATTTAACACTATTACAGTACAGTATTATTTATACAGGAAGTTACCTACAGTATTTAAGATACAGAAAGTTCCCAAACTTACGAACACCATAAGTTACACCAAAACTTCAAATTTAACATGTAGGAAGTAATCAGAACGGTACAGTTGTCAACTCGCAATATAAACATGCAACATTCCATCCTCTGTGCTATTGTTTTCTGTACAAGCAACTTGTTTATTACCTGAAAAAACAGGAATACAATGTGTTTGTAGATTGAGGACCTGTGTGGCATTGAGGATTGAAGGAACGTTGTAATGTAAATTATAAACGATGGCAGTGAGTCAGAAGATGGAGACTTAGTGAAGAGATAGTACTAGTAGAAGTAATAGTGGAGGTAGTCTAGGAACAAGAGAAGAGAGCAGCACTGCAGGAGACTTACTGGCCCATGAGTGCGGGATCAAATCCCAGTGGAACAAAACCCCCACAGGACAGAACCCACCTTGGCAGAAGGCAGGAAAGGTAATAAAATATAGGAAAGGAGCAGAGGTAGAGAGAGGAGATAAATATCAGGTTAAGTCATCAGTGTTGTGAAGTTTGGAGTATTTGACAATGTAATGAGAAAGGAAGGTATTTACAGAAAAGCCAGAACTAAGATTCATACAAGGAAAGTTGTGTATGAGGAAAGCTTCAAGATGCGACTGTGAAGGCTAGAAAGGATAGACAGTTTGGGCATATCGTATAATTATTATATAATCAAAAAGAAGCGCTAAAATAGTTTGGGCAGAGGACCAGTTAATAGGATGACTGTGATCTCGGTGCTGAGGGACTGAACAAAACTCCAGACTGAGGGACTGATTACTTCATTCTTTTCATCTTTCATCATTCTTCTCTGTATTGGACTGAAGAAACCATTGGCTGGCAAAACATTCTTTATATTTTATTTCCCACAGTTCTTTGCCTTGGTGTTCGTGCTGTTTATTGGTCAGATCGGCGCGGGTATTTGGCTGAAGAGTAACGAGGAACGATTCAAGAAACTTGCTGAAGAGTCGATGGCCAAGGCTATCCAACATGATTATGGCTACAATGACCTCAAGACACAGGCCTTCGATGTTATCCAGTCTGAGGTGAGCTAGACTATGATCCTCTACAAGTGATAAACACTTACAGCTGAACAATTGTCAACCTGTATTGTTTCTGTCCTTGTCTATTATTCCTGCAATTCGTGTATCTAGCTTTTCCTTAATATAATCACTAATAGCAAGTTTTTATTGAATTATTAAATACCTCCAATATATTAAAAACTATGTACTGTATTCTTATCTTACAGGAAGGCCCTGCTTATACAGCAAGTTAGGTTCTGGTCTACTGTAGGGCCCCACTTATACAGCAGGTTAGGTTCTGGGCTACTGTAGGGCTCCACTTATATAGCAGGTTAGGTTCTGGGCTACTGTAGGGCCCCACTTATACAGCAGGTTAGGTTCTGGGCTACTGTAGGGCTCCACTTATACAGCAGGTTAGGTTCTGGGCTACTGTAGGGCTCCACTTATACAGCAGGTTAGGTTCTGGGCTACTGTAGGGCCCCACTTATATAGCAGGTTAGGTTCTGGGCTACTGTAGTGCCCCACTTATATGGCAGGTTAGGTTCTGGGCTACTGTAGGGCCCCACTTATATGGCAGGTTAGGTTTTGGGCTACTGTAGGGCCCCACTTATACAGCAGGTTAGGTTCTGGGCTACTGTAGGGCTCCACTTATACAGCAGGTTAGGTTCTGGGCTACTGTAGGGCCCCACTTATATAGCAGGTTAGGTTCTGGGCTACTGTAGGGCCCCACTTATATGGCAGGTTAGGTTCTGGGCTACTGTAGGACCCCACTTATACGGCAGGTTAGGTTCTGGGATACTGTAGGACCCCACTTATACGGCAGGTTAGGTTCTGGGCTACTGTAGGGCCCCACTTATACGGCAGGTTAGGTTCTGGGCTACTGTAGGGCCCCACTTATACAGCAGGTTAGCTTCTGGGTTACTGTAGGGCCCTGCTTATACAGCAGGCTAGCTTCTGGGCTACTGTAGGGGCCTGCTTGTACAGCAGGTTAGGTTCTGGGCTACTGTAGGGCCCTGCTTATACAGCAGGTTAGATTCTGGGCTACTGTAGGGGCCTGCTTATACAGCAGGTTAGCTTCTGGGCTACTGTAGGGGCCTGCTTATACAGCAGGTTAGGTTCTGAACTAATGTAGGGCCCCACTTATACAGCAGGTTAGGTTCTGAGCTACTGTAGGGCCCCACTTATACAGCAGGTTAGGTTCTGAGCTACTGTAGGGCCCCATTTATACAGCAGGTTAGGTTCTGAGCTACTGTAGGGCCCCACTTATACAGCAGGTTAGGTTCTGAGCTACTGTAGGGCCCCACTTATACAGCAGGTTAGGTTCTGAGCTACTGTAGGGCCCCACTTATACAGCAGGTTAGGTTCTGAGCTACTGTAGGGCCCCACTTATACAGCAGGTTAGGTTCTGAGATACTGTAGGGCCCCACTTATACAGCAGGTTAGGTTCTGAGCTACTGTAGGGCCCCACTTATACAGCAGGTTAGGTTCTGAGCTACTGTAGGGCCCCACTTATACAGCAGGTTAGGTTCTGAGCTACTGTAGGGCCCCACTTATACAGCAGGTTAGGTTCTGAGCTACTGTAGGGCCCCACTTATACAGCAGGTTAGGTTCTGAGCTACTGTAGGGCCCCACTTATACAGCAGGTTAGGTTCTGAGCTACTGTAGGGCCCCACTTATACAGCAGGTTAGGTTCTGAGCTACTGTAGGGCCCCACTTATACAGCAGGTTAGGTTCTGAGCTACTGTAGGGCCCCACTTATACAGCAGGTTAGGTTCTGAGCTACTGTAGGGCCCCACTTATACAGCAGGTTAGGTTCTGAGCTACTGTAGGGCCCCACTTATACAGCAGGTTAGGTTCTGAGCTACTGTAGGGCCCCACTTATACAGCAGGTTAGGTTCTGAGCTACTGTAGGGCCCTACTTATACAGCAGGTTAGGTTCTGAGCTACTGTAGGGCCCCACTTATACAGCAGGTTAGGTTCTGAGCTACTGTAGGGCCCCACTTATACAGCAGGTTAGGTTCTGAGCTACTGTAGGGCCCCACTTATACAGCAGGTTAGGTTCTTTCAAATGAATATAAAAAACTGATAACATGTTTACACTATCATATACTATTAAGTGAGCAACAGAGCTAGGCATAAAATATACACATACAATACACACACTAATTACCTTAAAATATTTAAATATTTTCATCTGGTTGATCAGGCTCTGATCCACCAGGAGGCCTGGTCACAGACCGGGCCGCGGGGGCGTTGACCCCCGGAACTCTCTCCAGGTAAACTCCAGGTCTCCAAGTATAGTGAGTAGTGAATATATTTATTGTAGGAAGTCTGCACAAATGAAGAACGGCTATAATTAAAAACTGCTGCATTAGCAAAACGTCGTAAAGCCAAGTGCTGTACAGCGGGGTCCTCCTGTAAACTGTTTAGATTCAGATTCTCTATTTCAGCTTGATACAGTGTTTGTATAGAGGTGAATGACATTTGGGTGTACATACAGGAAGCTTCTTAATATGCAGCACTTCGGGCAAACTTAAGCCTGGTTTAGAAAGACACGTAAGCAAACACTATAACATATTTATTAGAAAACGTTTCGGTCCTGGGACCTTGATCACTTCTAACATACAGAGGTAGAAAGACATTACCTCTGTATGTTAGAAGTGATCAAGGTCCCAGGACCGAAACGTTTTCTAATAAATATGTTATAGTGTTTGCTTACGTGTCTTTCTAAACCAACTTGTCGGTATTTATTACCAAGGTTTATACCAAACTTAAGCCTAATTTAAGATTAATAAGGGAATGACTAATCAAGTGCCTTTATATACAAGGTCTCTTAGGTGGTTGTAAATATAAATTTAGAAGTTACAATGAATACAAAAGAATTGAGTATCACATTAGTACTTGCTATATGGCTTTTATTGAGTTTAATTATTTTAAGAATTACATGTTTGATGATAGGTAATGAGGATTGTAGTTTGTATTTACCAATACAAAACTACACTTTTCATGTGTAGTCTTCTGTCAGAATTGTTTTAAAACTTTCATTGGTTGTACCATTTACTACTTCCGTTAATCTGTTCTATGCTATTTTTTGTTGTGAAAAAAAATATCTTAGAATATTATTGTGCTAAACTTTATTTCAATTTCTGACTGTGGCATTTTGTTGTTTGTGAAGGTTACATGATGAAGGTAGTGTGCTAGGAAATACACCTACTATCCGACTTACGACCACTCGACTTACGACCACTCGACTTACGACCACTCGACTTACGACCACTCGACTTACGACCACTCGACTTACGACCACTCGACTTACGACCACTCGACTTACGACCACTCGACTTACGACCGTGTTTTTTATGCCAAATTTCAAGGAAATAAACAACTATTTGTGTTGTACACAGTGTTTATCCTAAACCTTACAGTATAAAATACAGTGCTAACAGCATAAAAAGTAAAGTAAAACATGAAATACCAAAATAAAACAATAAAATAAAGTCATTACAAAAATGTTTTGTTGATATTCAGTAGTAAAGTTCGACTTACGACCATTTCGACTTACAACCGGTTTCTTGGAACCGAACTCGGTCGTAAGTCTGATGGTAGGTGTTTACGTGTAGGGTAGTTGATGAGTGGAACAGTCTACCTAGTTGGGTTATTGAGGCTGGGACTTTGGGTAGTTTCAAATTTAGGTTGGATAAGTACATGAGTGGGAGGGGTTGGATTTGAGTGGGACTTTCACATCAGAGCTTATTTCTTGGGTGGCATTGAAAGTTGTTTTGGTCAAATGTTTGTTAGTGGGATGAATTGTAAAGGACCTGCCTAGTATGGGCCAACAGGCCTGCTGCAGTGTTCCTCTTTTCTTATGTTCTTATGTTCTTAATCATGACCTTATACAGTAATACCTCACTAATTCGGTGTGTTAATCACATTATTATTTATATAATAGGGGAGCGCTAAACCCATAGGATTATACAGTGTATGTGTGGTGGGGGAATGTTAAGTATTTAGGCTCAATTCAGGGAACTGGAGCACAGATCCAATTCCCTAGATCAAGAGCCCCTCACCAGCATCAAGGAACAATATCACCTTAAAGTGAATCACAGCCTTTTTTCCACTTGTCAGTACATATAAAAGCCTAGAAACATGTTTACTCTATCATTTATTAAATGCACAATAGCACTAGGCCTATAAAAATGATGCAAAAGTAAAAAAAATTATTTTTTTTTTTAACCCTTAAACTGTCCAAACGTAGATCTACGTTTTTTCAACATTTGAAATTATGTAAAAAAACTAGATCTTCTTTTTCTTTTTTTACATTTGAAAACGTGTAAAAAAACTTTGATCTACATTTTTTTGTTATATTTAAAAATATGTAAAAAAACGTAGATCTAATTTTGGAGCATTACGCATGTGAACATAAATCTGTTTGGACAGTTTAAGGGTTAAAATTGCTAAAAATCACATAATTATACTAATTGAAAAGTGCTGTATTAGCGACTGCTGTATTAACAAGGTAGGCCTCTACAGTGGTACCTCGGGATATGAACAGCTCAAAATGTGAACATTTATGTAAGAGTATTTTTGTAAGTGCTTTTGTAATTGTATTTTTAGGGGTCTGAAACGGATTAATCTAATTAACATTATTCCTTATGGGAACAAATTCGTTTGGTATCGGCACTCGAACAACCTTCTGGAATAAAATAATTTTGTATCCCAAGGTACCACTGTACTCTACATCCATTGTGATCCAATTGTACATTGACTTTTTTGTACGTTTTATATACCATCTTTTAAATTAATTTGTACATCTATTGCTTGTGCAATATTTCCTGTCATTCATTTTAATTAATATTTCTTAGCTCCAATGCTGTGGTTCAATGGGACCTACTGACTGGGCCGATGCTCGCTTCAATGGTGCCAATGATGGTAATGCAGTAGACATTGGTATTGCTGGTAAACTGGATTCCTACAGCACGCCTGCTTCCTGCTGTAACACGGCTTATGGTTCTGGCTGTGACGCAGCCAGAAAACTGCTCATTTCAGCCACGGTCCCTAAGGCCATCTACACCGACGTAAGTTATTATTATTAATATTATATTCACTTTGTTTTTAACCCTTTGACTGTCGCAACCCCAGATTCTAAAGTGTCTCCTGGTGTCGCAAAATTTCTTGGAAAAAAAAAAAAAGTTTTCTTATGAAATGATAATCTCTTCCCGATGGTAATGTCACCAAAAGTATGAAATTTGATCAAAAACTTAGGGAATTATGCTCCCACAAAGTTAGCAATCTCGGCGATATATACGCATCGGCGATTTCACAGACTCTGAGCCCAATTTTCGGCCAATTCTTTTGTTCCAGCTGACCAAACTCATAGCTATTTCTTCACAACTCCATTTTTTCTATCAACTGAGTACAAGAAACTGTCCATTTACCAATTTCAACAACCCAATAAAGTGGTCAGAAATTGGCAATTTGGCCAATTTCACACAAATTAAAAAGATGCCAATTTCAAAATAGGGTCCAAATAAACAATGCAGACATTCTTGGCACTAAAATAACATATCTTCTGTTCATTAGTCATGTCTCTAGGCCCCTCTTATGTTACTCTTGCTTTCTATTTTGATTTTTTATTCACACAAAAAATAGAAGATTTACTGTTATGCAGACTACTGCATTATTGTAAAAATGATATAAATAATATCAGTGCACTAGTGAAAGAATATTAGACTCATCAGTTGACGTGTATTGAACGTGTGGTGTGATTTGCTTACTCATGAACATTGGTAAAAATCGAACATTTCTGCTACTTTGAGCTCAATTTCAAGGTCATTTTCATCGTGAAACTAATCAAAATCATCTCTGTTTCTGTAATATGTTTTCCATTCTATCAAATGAGACCACAAAAATGAGAATACAACCATAAATACTACACGAAAATACACCTCAAAGTCGGCATTTTAATCCAAAAACACAGTCAGATTTTTTTTCATTATGTACTGCGTGCTGCAGGATTTTTTTATACAGTGCACACTGACCACACAGACCCATTCTCTCACATGTGGGCCTACCAGCTTTCTCCTGCTTGATTTGAAGCCGCTAAAATTATTGAGTATATATAAGTCCGAAACACTGACTCGTAAGATGTAGGTATACCGCCGAAACAGTCAAAGGGTTAATATTACTCTTTGGGTTTTATTTGTTAGGAAATTAAATATCCATCTGCCTACTGTCTTGACTGGTGAGTACCAGATACTTAGTGTTAAGTACTTGAGGGTCTGGTCCCAGAGCTACACACTGACATAACATACTGGAGTGAAAGATGTGGGAGGAAGTGTAAAATAAAGCCAGTGAAAAGCAAGGGCACCATGGACACAATAAGAGAACATTATATCAACATCCCTGGTACAAGACTAACATCTTACAAGTCTTCAAGAGGAAACTGGACAAGTATCTTTACCAAGTGCCAGATCAATCAGGCTGTGATGCATATTTGAATCAAAGAGAGCCAGCAACAACAGTCTGGTTGATCAAGCAATCTGCAGACAAGCCTGGCCCAAGACTGGGCTCCAGGAATAGAGAAACTCTTGGAACTTATCAAAGGTATAAAGATAGAGGTAAAATAAGATTTCTTATTTCTCTAATATTTTCTATGTAATTTTGTGGGTCTGGTATAAAACCAGGCCAGGAGGGCAATGATCCTTGTAAGTAAGTAAGTAAGTAAGATTTCGTTCGGATTTTTAACCCCGGGGGGTTAGCCACCCAGGATAACCCAAGAAAGTCAGTGCGTCATCGAGGACTGTCTAACTTATTTCCATTGTGGTCCTTAATCTTGTCCCCCAGGATGCGACCCACACCAGTCGACTAACACCCAGGTACCTATTTGCTGCTAGGTGAACAGGACAACAGGTGTAAGGAAACGTGTCGAAATGTTTCTACCCGCCGGGAATCGAACCCGGGCCCTCCGTGTGTGAAGCGGGAGCTTTAGCCACCAGGCCACCGGACCACCGGACCACCGGGCCACCAGGCCACCGGGCCACCAGGCCACCGGGCCACCTATGGAATGATTAACAGATATAGATACAGTGGAACCTTGGTACAGTACTTGAACAGCTCTGTACTTGAACAATTTGGTATTCGATCACTCAGTAGTCGAGTGTTTGCTCAGCTCTCGACCAAACAAACACAACCTTCCAGAACTGCACTGTAAACTACTTTGTATTTCTTTGCATTTTTTGGTGTTTTTTTATATTATTTGTATAAATAAGTCACCATGAGGCCTAAGAGGGTTAGTAATAGCAGCCAACCAAAAAGAAAACTGGTTGGGAAAAATTTGTTCTGTACTCGAACAGATCGGCACTCGAACAGCCTTCTGGAACCAATTAAATTCGACTGCCGAGGTTCCACTGTAATATCCAAGTACATGTATGTCTCAAATGGATTTGCTTTAAATTTGATGACATTGTATTGCTACGATAGTGTACCATAAAGCTACATCTTAATTCAGTACCAAAATAGTTTCAATACTAGAGCACTGCTTAGAACAAATTAACACTATGGAAACATTCCAAAAGAGACAACGTTCCTGACAAGAGAAGTTTCAGGGAAACCACAGAATCATCTTATACTGTAGAAATATCTTGCACTTTCGTTGAGGCAAGAACTTTGGGTAGCTTGAAATTTATAGATTAGACTGATACACGAGTGGGTGTAGGTGGATGCGAGTTTGCTGCCTAGCATGGGTCAGTAGGCTTAGTGTTAATTCATTCTTATGTTTTTGCAGTAGGACGACAGTAAACAGGTGATATCACATAATGCACAACAACTACTGTGAAAAAATTGTGATATTCCCAGAGTTTTCAGAATTTCTCGCATTATCAAGGACCTGTGTGACCCACTCTTTCTTTGATGGAGATTTGAGTTTGACTGCCTAGCATGGGCCAGTAGGCCTAATGTAGTATTAATTCATTATATTCCTGTGTAACCCACTCTTCCTTCTTCAACAGGGATGTGCCAAGAAAATGCTAAAACTGATAGAGACCTACAGCTATGAATTGCTTGCTGTTGTTGGAGCCATCCTGCTCATCGAGGTCCTGGCCATGATCTTCTCAATGGTCCTCTGCTGTACTGTCCGTCGCATTGACCACGTCAAAGCCTAGGAGGAAAACAGTTCCCCAATATATGACCTGGGGATGGAGAGTGAAGAGGACGATCCTACCGTCTAAGAAAATAACCTTTCTTTTCCACCTTTTGCTTGAGAAAGTATTTGATGCATAGTTATGACTTTTCTTTCCAAATCTAGTGCTTGAAAAAGTTTAGCTCAATAGGGGAAGAAGCACTGTTAGAATATATAAATGCATTTTACTGGAAGGTCGTGTGGTCTGAATTACATGTCACACTGGTAAATATAAAACAAATGAATTACACAGCTATATCTCAAAGCAAATTTAAATACATATTTACGTGACCACACGCCTGAAAGAAATTAGATTTTTTTCATTTAAAATTTGTACATTAATGCCAGATACTAAAAAAAACATTAAGTCGTTTGCACTTTACAGTACATATTCCCTTGTTAAGTTTAGCCAGTATAATTATGGAATATACTGTACTGAAGACAGTATATTGAGAACATAGGAAATACAATAGTTGTAGCTAAAGACTAAAACCTATTTTTATATTTAACTGGATTAAATAATTCATTTACAAGGAGGAATTTCTTATGTAAGAGACAATGGAGAGTTTTTATGATATAAATATTTGATATCAATTTATATGTAACACGGAGGCTCAGTTTCATTATTTTCATGATCTTTATACGAATAATGTACAATATTGTGTTTATTGAGACGTAAATGAAACACAGGAAGTAGTGTCTCCTGATAGTGTAAACTTCTAGTTAACTGCACATTTTATAATGGGGAGTAGCAGGGTTTGATGTATAGGAAAGGTTCTATCCTTGTAGTGTACGCTCTCTCTAGCGTGGTTAGTGTACACGAGGGCCCTATGCATGCAGCTCCTCGTCTCAGCATTCCATGTTTTTGTTGGCTTTCACTTTAGCCATTGTTCATTATGTTTGGTGCTTTCACTGCTGCTCAGCTGTTATCACCATTTTAATACAACAGTTGTGTAAGGGAAGAATGACCAGTGCCATATTTACAGCTGTATGAACGGGGCTCTCCTAGGATGATATACAGCTCTAAATATGGTGCCAATCACCTTTCCCTTATACAACTGTTGTATGAAAATGGCGATAATAGTGGAGCAGTGGTAAAGGCACCAAACATAGTAAACAGTGGCTCAATTGAAAGCTATCAGAAATGTGGAACACTGAAAAGAGGTACTGTATACACATGGCCAACATGTACATGTGGCTTGTACAGCTGAAGTATTACACCTAGGTGCAGTTCTCTTGGAGATAACCAGTGCAGTTACACGTGATTTTACTCAGTTTAGAAGATGGTTAAGTTCAAACTAGCATTTTGTTTTGTACTCAAATATTGACGAAATGTGTGTAGGGAATCACGGATCACTCTGGCAAATAGAATAAACATTTCATGGAATATATTGGTTGGTCGGCACACTTCCCGCCAGTGTTGCTATCTCAGACTGGTCACACAAGAACCAAAGCTTTTATATATTTCTCTCTCTCCCTTCTCTTTTGTTAGTCTTCATCGTAAATATACCTCTGAGGACTTTTTTTTAAGTTAAGGTACCCAAGTGTGACTGATAAAAGGAGTGGCAGTGTGTCAGTTAACCAGATTTGATGTTGTTGCAACTATTAAAATTCATTGTAAATAACAAAGGTTAAGGATGCGCATTGGTGCATATTGGCGACAAAAGTGATTCGGCTTTTACCAGCAAATGCATTTTGCAAGGACACATTGGCAGTGAAAAAATATAAATTGCATATTTCACTTAATACATCATGCAAGCATGCAGTATGTATACAGTCAGTGCATTTACGTATGATCAACTTGTATACCTGATGTTATACCATACTTTATGCTATACACGTATCCTAGTGACGTTTATAAAAATTACTGGACACACATAATGTGGATATAACATGCTTTAAATGGTATGCATGTGTGAGTTTGTATGTGCACAACGTATTAGCATTTTGAATAGGCCTATCAAAATTAATTTTGAGGAAAACATAATGCATTTATATATATATATATATATATATATATATATATATATATATATATATATATATATATATATATATATATATATATATATATATATATATACATATGTATATATACATATATATATATATAGTGTGTGTGTGCATGTTTATAATGTTATATGGATA